TAGATATTGGCCTCGTTCTTTTTTTTGCGAGTTTATGGACCTTGACTCCGTCTTGGTCCATAAACACGCAAAAAAAAAGAACTTGGCCAATATGCAACCATGTTGACCTCACACTTGGTCAATAACCCATACATACTGACATGTATACTGTGACGTTTAAAATACTGTATAATTAATGACATTTTGCAGAATTATCTCTGAATTTGAAGCCATCAGAGAACGTGCTCTTACCAAACCAGAGGACACTCGTGAAATGATAGACATGCTAAAATTTGTTGAAGAAGCAAAGACGAAGACCCTGGTCAAGCTTGACAGCGACATCAAGGTGTGATGAAATTACTTTCTCTAATAATAATGAAACTTAATTTATGTGTCAGAGGACACTTAAAATTGCAGTCAATTAACTATTATTTCTCAATGATATCTGTCTTCAAGTCATGCTAAAGTTGCTATGTCTATTTGTTGCAGGAGTCATTCATCAGGCTCTCCTATCTTTTAGATGTTTTCACATTCACACAAGATGACATGAACCTCAACTCTACAGTACTTAACTGGCCTAACAATATTGCTCCCATATTCGACCAGAATGATGAGGTAAATGTTAAAGTTGTACCAATGAAGATCCGAGAAATTAACTCCTTGTAAGAATTGCCACGCATGCAAAGATTCCTGGTATTTATGGCAACGATCGCGTTGATGGTGAGAAATGAGCAAAATCAACGTGGCTGGGATACCAACCCCAAAAACCCTCACATCACCCAAAAAGGGGCTTGGCTCTTTCCCCTTCCCCGAGTAGACCTTGCGCATTTTCAGTATTACGAGTAAGGAAGTTGTGACCTCAGCAGCCAGAAAGGGAAAATAAATTCTTTTGACTTGACCGTGGGATGTAAAGTGCTAACAGAAAACGCATGAATTTACATCTGAGTATTAACCTTAAAGTATTAAAGAGAACATCGTTACATCTTCGTGGATTTAAACCTTGTCAACCTCCAAATTAGACTGAGTGGGCTACTGGGAGAACAATGGGAGAAGTTTTGGCTTATTAACTATTATAAGATGAAAATACGTGGTGAGGTAGATGTGAGGGGTACAATTTTGCAATGTAATGTTGGCCATGCTGCATGTTCCTAAATACTATAAAAGCTTGAAATCTTTGTGGTGGTCTTCAGTGCTGAAAGTAAACACATGAGTTACTGAACGTCTGAGTGACAGTTTTTTTAAAGAAATTGGGGACCACTAGCCACAGATTGCAATAAAATATTCAGTAGATTTTACATTTTCCGTGAAGGCACCTTGTGACGACAAAAAAAGGCGGATCAAAGAAAGCACTCCGCTGGTTCAACCATGAAAACGCTTCAAATATCCAAGATTTACTTTGAACTCGGTTAAATGAGATTTGAACACTTTCCTTAAGGTCAGGGAGATTAGGTAACTCGTGTGGGAGACTGTATACAGGAGGCTCACCGATAAACTGGGAGTGACATGACACCATCAGGGAAAAAAGAAACAGCCTTACAGTTTCGGTGGACCAATTATAAACCAGTATGCTCAATATGCTCAATGTTGTTCCTGTCTATTTTATTGTCCTTTTAGAGCTAAAACTATATTTAGCTCCTATTAACCGAGCTGGAGGTCTGTATGGGAGAATCTTGAGCGAGGTCGTGAGTACAGACCGAACGCAGTGAGGTCTGTACACGCGACCAAGGTCAAGATGCTCCCATACAGACCGACTTAGCTCGGTTAATAAGATGTTTATTATATGGCAAAGAAGAAAACTTTAATTCGTTTAATGTAACTGGTTTGTTGACANATGAAACCGGTCTAGATGGGAAAATCTAGACCGCGGTCAATATCGATTTCAGCCAATCAAATTCGTGAATTCGGTAGTTCCCAGTCCTTGTGAGACACAGCCATATAATAAAAAAGCTTATTGAATTCATTTTTGCATCTAACATTCGAGGGACCTAGTTTTGCGTGAACTTGCATTCGGAATGCGCAATTTATTATATTGACATTTTATGATATTTTTATCGACACAATAAATTGTGTATTGTATTGTATTGTAGATTGTGGTTGCTGCTCAGAAGAGCAATGAAAGTGCACTCATGGAGAAAAGAGAGAAAGTTATGCTGGAGCTTGACAAGCTCAAGAGGTATAATTAAGCATGATTTTAGTGATTTACATTGTAACTCAGGAGTACTTTTTGAGTTATGTCCACCAAAAGTTGTGCCGTTTTATTTGGACACATTTAGAACTGGTTTGTTCTAATCAAAACTTGCATTAAGTATAAACTTTACTCATCAAGTATATATAGGGCTTTTTTAGAATGTTCAATGGCGAAACAACAAAAATGGAACAGCTGAATATTGAGTTTTTGTGGAAGTACGTGTTTTTGTTGTGGGGATTATTAAACGTCCATGACACCGAAGAAAAACAGGCAATATAGATGGACTCCTTATATTCTAACGTAATGTATATTTTTTAATTTATATTGAACAATTATTCGCCGAAGGCGAAGTGAACAGCCAGATTGCTCTTTGTTCAGCTCTGAAATTATTCACAATCTGTACACAAACATACCGTATTGACTCTGGTATTTTATAGCTGTACAGAATATTGCATAGAGCAGGTTTGAATGGTTGTCAAATTAATCACTCTGGCCAATCACAAAGGATGCAGACAATCCAGTAAACCAATCAGAACTCCAACCAAATAGGTGTAGCTGGCGCATAGCTTGGGAAATCATGTGCGAACCACTTATCATTAGTTTTGGTTTTACTTCTGATTGGATGAGAAATGGCGCGAGTTTTTTAAACCAATCAATGAGCATGGTAACACAAAACCAAGGCAAATCCAATTTGTTTTCGACACGTAAGCGCAGACCGCTCTCTACCATACCTGTTATTGGTCTTTCACCGGACCGTTACAAGATATTTTTTTTGATAATGTTTGTTTCAGACGCGTGGAAGAGTTCAAAGAGTATGGTGATATGGACATGATGATGCAGTATGTGAAGGAAGTACAGACAGTTCAAAAGAAACTCACTGACAGTGTTGAAGCTATTGGCTTTATTAATGAGGTAACCTTATCGATCTGTTTGTTTGTTGTTTCTTTCCCTTTAAATGAAACCACATGTTTCAGATAAAGGAATAGGTATTTTTCTTCCAAGTATATCAACAGGACATTGTTAATATGTCACATACCGTTGCGTTTCATCTGTTGCGTTACAGAGAGTGATAACTATTATGTAGTGATGACAGTCATCCTGAGAATTCCGAGTTTTTAATTCCAGTTTATTTTTTTTCAGTTGTTTGCCATGTTCCTAGTAAATTTACCGATACCCTGATGTATTATTACCAGTTCCCCAGCAGATGGTTTGAATGTTCTGTTTACCATCAGTCATCTCTTTGATTTCAAACAAATAGGTTGCTGTTCTCCTCAAAAGAGCATATTTGTTCCAGAAATTAGTTCCCCCATCATTATGCTTCTTTGTTACTGCACAGTTAGTTACTTCCTTTCACTGTTAATTCCATCCCCAGTGATTTACATAATTATTTCTTTGTGGTTCCAGTTAGCTTTGTGATGTTTGAGAAGTACTTCCAATCAATGTTTTTGTCATCCTTTTCAATATATAGGAAGAAGAGTTATTCAAGTGGGAGCAAACAACATATCCTGAAGTGGAGGCCATCACCAAAGCTATTGAGCCATATCAAAAACTCTTCACAACAATTGTTAAATGGCAGAGAGCTGAGAAAAAATGGATGGATGGCGCCTTTCTTGAACTGAATGCTGAAGCCACAGAGGCAGAGGTAAAAACAGTTATGTTATATTATATAATTAGCGAGTTTAGTTGTCTGCAGCACTGTTGTATTTCTGCTCTCAGTTTAATGAAGAACTAGTGTAGCAATGAGCACTCCGGCTTTTTCCTCGGACTGTCGAGCAAGAAGTGAAAAAGAAACGAGAACAAAAACTGGCCGTCCAGCGCTAGCTAGGTGATGAGATGCACAGGCAAAGATGGACTTGAATGGGAACGCCAGCGAGAATGATCTTTTATAATCGGCTGATTTTTTAGTATGAATTTTCATGCCACATTAAATTCCAATGGTATATTCCGTGTCTAAAGTTTGAGACGTCAAGAAAACTATAATCGGACTTAACTCAAGTCAATGCGACGGAAAGAAGTGAAGTGCTTAAACATTCTGACTTCTAGTGCCATTAACATGATAGAATGTCCACTCCCCCCTGGATGGGATGCCAGTCTATTGCAGAGATACCTCCAGGTTTCAATTTGCTGGTACCCATCCATACACGTACGTGAATGTAGAAAGGCAAAGTGTCTTGCCCAAGCACACAACACTATTACAGCGGTCAGAGCTTGGACGTGTTCCACTCGGTCCTGAGTCCAGTGCTAGCCATCAGGCCACCGCATGTTCCACGATTGTACCGTGTACGTAGGTGGAATTTTAGAAGCTATCCCAGGAATGTTAGTCGTTGGTCTCAGATCTCCCCGTTTGTGTGGTTGGAAAACGTAAAATTGCCTCTGTCTTATTCTTCCATTGTGAGCTTAGTTCAATGTTCGNGCTATTTTTCTGCTCTTTTAAGTCTCTCTAACTGATGTGGATATACTTTATAGCGATTCCTTCTCCCGCAACGTCGCACGCAATTGTTTAATCTTTATGCCTGAAATTTCCAACCGGATGGTTTTTGTAAATGGTAAGCACCCTGTGTCACCATGTCTATGGTGATGGACAACTCAGCTTGCTGTGGCAACTCCACTTCCTCTTTCAACTTCTTTAACCATTCTGCATACTTACGATGTGTTGACTCTATACTCCAAATGCTCTCCCAAAATTGCTTGGCTTCTTCTGAATCAGTTGTCATATCAGATAAGATTTTGTCTCCACTTAGTTCCGTATAAAATTTTCTCTGGTCTGTCTCGAACAATCTGTTCTGATGGAATTGTTTGTTTCTGTTCTCGTATCTTCGKATCTTTGTAGCCTTGGCAGTAATTCTTTGTTTGAGATCTTCAGAGACATGTTTAAGGCCTATTTCAGCAATCTTGTACTTTCGCTCCAGCTCACGTTTGTGGTGTTCTTTTTATTATTATTATTTTTTTTTTCCTTTTTTCCTTTTTTTTTTTTTTACAGCAAAACGAAATATGTTTAGTGAAATATATCTTACGTATTTGTTATCATTTTCCTTCAAAAGAATAACAAGGATTTGCTTTTCCGCAATTCTATATACTGTAAGCAACGAATTACTAACAGTCATGCTCGGGTTTAAGATCATTAGAGCTTTTCTGAAAACCATTAAGACGAAATCCGATAGGAAATCGTGCAATTTCAGTTTTTAGCGGACAAAAACCTTGTACCAGAATAATTTTAGGTATTTTACAATCCTTTTTATATTTTCTTAAAGCTAACGATGTATAAATAGTTGCCTAAAATAACACCGAAAACAATTTCCAATGGGAAGTCGAGAAAATAAATTTCAAAGTTCAGAGAAATTGTGCAAAAACAGGTAAAATTTCATCATCAGTTTCATTTCACCAGAGTACTTTCAAGTGTTTCATATGAACTTTAAAATTTGTTTTTGACATTTCGTGTTGTTAAAAATGATTTGTTTTGAGAAGATATTTAAAACAGTCGCACAGAAATTTGCGAAACGATGTAAATAATCTCGGTACAACGTTTTTGTCCTCTTGTTACTCGAACTGCTGGTGGATTCCTTCTTAAACGTTGCTCGTCAGTCATACCCCCGTTAAACGAAAACCTTTGGGTGGCTGATTATCTTGAGTTTTAACAATAACTTTATACCCCTTTGACATACCTCCAAGCAATGACCAATCACATCATGACAGTTACATATTATCCAATTTCCCTGGCTCATGGCCATTTTTTGCTCGGTCTTCTTTTTTCATTACTCGTTCTACAACCCATTGGAAAAGAGGGACTGCTCATAGTGTAAAACTGGTGCAATGGTTGGTTATCATGAGCATATTAATGTACAGTAGAAGAATATGGTCAGTTTCGAACAGTAACACAAAACATTCACACATGCACGCATAAACTTTATTTTATCAAATTTTTAGAGTAACTTAGAAACTTAGCTGTATCTTCAAGAAGTAAACAGCAAATAATGAATTGGGTAATTTGGACCCTCTGAAGCCATGTAAAAGAGGTTTGAATTACTAAACGAACGAATATGTGGCAGAACAGAACAAAATTCAAACAACAAACTGGAACAAACCTAAGAGGAAACAAGTTGGAGAGAAGTTCAAGTTTACTATAAGAATTTAAAATGTCAAGATTCTAGTTGCTACTAATATGAAACAGTAATTCAGTCCTACAAGTGTGTGTTTAACAAAAACTCTCAACTGTGCGTATAGAGCTTTGCATGTATCGTCTATACTGTGATATGTGATAATCAGTTATTGTTTAGGTCGAGGAGTATGGCCGTGAGATGTACAAGATTGCAAAAGTATTTCAGTCAATGAAAAAGGACGCTGAGAAGGAAAAGAAAGGTCACAGAAGAGTCAAGGATTCCAAGGAGAAGGAAGAGCCAGAGACAGAACTAGCTGCATTAGTAGTTACACACACAGTTCAGCATCAAATAAAAGAATTCAAGGTATTGTTGTCTAGTCAAGGTGGATCTCATTTTAACTTATCCATATATGTTTTTCGTGATGAAACATTTTCTTCAGTTTTTCATCCTCAGAGTTACAGTGTTGTTGTTGTTGTTTATGTTTATTAGGAGCACATTCCTGTCATTAGTGTTATGTGCAATCCAGGAATTCGTTCTCGACACTGGAAGGCCATGTCCGATATTATTGGGTTTGATATCACACCGGATTCTGGAAGTACTTTGCGTAAGGTTCTCAAGTTCAATCTCAAGCCATACATGGATGAGTTCGAGGGCATCAGTGCAGGGGCAAGCAAGGTAAGTCATTACCTTCTAAGATTAAAAGCAGCTCCCGTACTGCATGCTGGACAGAATCAACAGGTTACAGGAAGTGGCTTCCTGATTGAATTATTTAGTGTTCCATTTTTCCAAACTGTTGCAAGCATACTGTTCCACTGCCATCCCTGTTAAAATTCATTACTTTCATTTTTAAACAATCGTTCCAAACGCCCTAGTCTGTAAACAGGCTCCGGCTGGAAGGGTCTGACTGCGGCTGGAAGGGGCCAAGAAGGAACTGGCTCAGAGCCTGTTCACAGGCTACAAACGCCCAAACGAAGGAGTTATTCGCTATTTACGTACATGCAGCTTTAATTGTGATGTTCCTAAAGTCAATTCGTTGAAATTTCTCGATAGATTCATATATATATATATATAGAACTTACAAATTGGCCAGATAAGGGTTGTAACGAGTAATTTATTCGGGTTCTTTTCCAGTTTGTTTTTTGCTCTGCTCAAAAACTGGTTTTTAAATATTTTTAAAAAATAAGTCCTAAGTAAAGAACGGTGATTACAACCTCTCCCGAATTGTACGGACCTTTACTGCAGGGCACTCGAGAAAACTGTGGGAAAGTTACGACTCTTTAAAGCCCTGTGCCAAGATCGCTATATTTTTGACCAGGCATGAACTTTCGAACTACAGGGTTTGTTTACTGGCATTTGATGCAGTTCCTGGGTTGAAAATTACAAACTTGTCACGTGGAGTGAACAGCGATATGAGGACTAGCAGTTGTGTGCTTTGTGTCCGTACATTCTCCGCGATGAAAAAGCATTTCATAAAGTTTGGACTGTATCCGTGTGTAACTTATGTAAAACAGCAGTTTCGCTTCGGAATCGGATCTCTAACAGCTGAATAATTTAATAATTGTGTGCGACGTGCTCATACATTCTTTGTAATTGAATCGTACAATTTCAGTATATATTAAAGTTATTGCTTACCTCCATACACGTTAATCATTCAATCAATCATGACACTGAGGTTAGAGTCTTTTCATACTGTTACAAGGAATTCTCGTTGGAGAAAGCTATGCTAAAGATGGTGGATGAATGGGACAACATCTTGTTCAGTACAACTGAATACCGTGATACTGGCGTGTCTATCTTGGCTGCTGTGGATGAAATTCAGACTACACTTGATGATCAAATTGTTAAGACCCAGACAATGAGAGGTTCCCCCTTTATCAAGCCGTTTGAGGCTGAAATAAAGGTAATTCTGTCAACTTAAACAGTAAATGTTATTGTAAAAGGCCATTGCGGCAATGGTTGGATCGTTAAACCTCATAGCTCAAAGGAGTAATCTCTATTTTACAACACATGGCCCTGGTGTTAACATGTGTTGTGAACGCCTTACATGTCAGTCAACAGTAGCCAAACTTTATTTGAAACTGCAGTAAATTTGAATCGATCAAATTAAAGTACTTAAATTCTTGCCATTCTCAAGCAAAAACATATAATAATGTTATCATAGGTAATTGTGAAATATTACCAACTGATGTCAGCCGCTATGCTGGAATAACCTTAGACTGATTTCATTTTCATAATTTTAGGCTGAGTTGGAATTCAGCGTTTGCTCTTTTGAGAGTAGTAACGCTTAATTTACAGATTAGAGTGTTCACTAGTGCTAGTTTGTAAAAACCTTGTAAATTGCTTTGGCACTCCTATGTAAATATTTGATATAACTTTCAATGGATAGTTAGCCTAGTTATGTTTTGGGGTTTTAGGCCTGGGAAGAGCGTTTGTTAAAGATGCAGGAAATAATAGATGAGTGGCTAAAAGTTCAAGCCCAGTGGTTGTACCTAGAACCTATTTTTAGCTCTGAGGACATCATGCAGCAGATGCCTGAGGAAGGACGCAAGTTCAAGACAGTAGACAGGAACTGGAAGGACATCATGAATTTTGTTTGCAAAGATCCCAAGGTAAACACTGACACAGCCTTTAATCAGTCCTACACTGGCCCTCAAAAGTACAAATTTGTAGCATTTTGTTTGATTTACAAGCTTTTTAATTTTTCTTGAAATTATACTCTGGGCTTGGTTGCTTACATTGTTAGCAAAGGTGTTTTTTTTTACTGCATTTCGCTTGAAAGGTCGCTGACAACAGGTTCCAGCACAGATGCCCTAATGGATCATAGTACCACTCCTTCTCAGTTAGTGAACAAATTGTGTGATCTTGACGACATAGAAGGATACGTTACCATAGCAACAGTATGCCCTATTGAAAGCCTTCTTGATTTTTCCTTGTGAATTAAAACCAGCCTCGTTAACACCCATTTTTTTGTCATCTTATTGCTACGGTTACCAGTTACGACTTGACGATGGCCACAACTTGTGCACTGATGATTGGGCATCGTATTACCATCGTAGCATTAAGTAATTAAGAATGGAAGTGTTGATCCATGGATCAAATTGTAAGTGATGGAAACTGTTCCCAGCCACCTTGATTAAGAGCCTCGTTATGTCTGTGTAAGAATTACAAATAGCAAACTGTACCTCTAGTCGTAAATCTAAAGCTGATGTTCTGTGATATCTAAAGCAAGTGTATGATTCTGAACTTCTCAGATCATGCAAAAAACAAACGAACAAACAAACAGACGAGAGGTCATTCCTGTGCATGGTAATGATGACCATTAATGTTGAAATAAATAATTTCAGGTGCTGTCAGCCACTTCAATGCCAAGTATGTATGACAGATTGAAGGACAGTAACGACTTGCTGGACCAGATTAACAAGGGATTAAATGCTTACCTAGAAAAAAAGAGACTCTTTTTCTCCAGGTTGGTCAACTCAAACAACTCTTGTATAAAGCATTATCTTTGCATGTAGCCTTCAGCTGTAGATACACCGCTATCTTCGCATGCGTAATCCATCCCCTATAAGGGAGGCGTGTGAAATTCAGTGCTTACAACGTATCCATCCATTAGCACATAATGTAATTTGATATTTGATGACATGCTATATCTTGTGTGTAATTAATGGTCTATTTGTGAACACTGTAGATTTTTCTTCTTGTCAAATGACGAGATGCTGGAGATTCTGTCAGAAACAAAGGATCCGTATCGGGTTCAGCCACATCTGAAGAAGTGTTTTGAGGGAATTGCTAAGTTAGAGTTTACATCTGCTTTGGATATCACTCACATGTACAGCAGCGAGGGAGAAAAGGTTTGTTGTTGTTCCTGTCCAAAACATCAAGTGGGCTGGAAAAGGAGGCCTCAGAGATCGGCCACACAAACCATTTTTGTGACCAAGGCTTGCACCAATATACATTTAACACAAATTAGAGTCTGATACATCGTTCTTTAAACTGCTCAGATTGTTCACCAGTTTAAAGGACCTATGTCTAGAAAAGGTTCTTTAATGAGGTGGAAAAAGGAAACAATATTTTTGATACTTGTGGACACATTTTATATATGCCTGATGACGCCTATATCGTTTCACCCAGCGAAACAGTAGCAAAAAAAGAAAAAGAAAAACTGCGAAAAAAATCGTGCTTGATGCCGGCTGGCACACAAATTTGCCGTAGTTTCAAGGAGCACGACCTGATCACGTCCGAGTCGAAAGTTCTATATGTTGTTTCCGTAGGGGGTTTGTTAGTTTTGACCAACGACACATGACACGTTCTCTTCCAACCGGAAAACGTATTTGAGTTGGGAGGTATAAACAATAATAGTTCACGCATTCTCTTTTACCATGCTCCTCCAACAGCGTAACTTTATACTCCACTATATAAACACACATACAGCCCATAATCCTCCACTTTGCTCTGACGAGGGGCTAACACTCAAAACGTCAGCTTCACTATCTTGCTACGGCGGTTAATTTACGCCTTTGTAATTATCTAACCCCTCTCTAGCGTGGATTAACACATTGCTTGTTACAGGTTCCTTTAGAAACTAATACCTTTGTAATTATCTAACCCCTGTCTAGCATGGGTTAACACGTTACTTGTTACAGGTTCCGCTCAGTGACACCATATCCACATCAGAAGCACGAGGTGCTGTTGAAAAATGGCTGCTTCAAGTCCAGGATGTGATGCTTGTAAGCATCAGAGACATCATTGAGCGAGCTGTGCAGGTATGCGGCTAATTTAGCTGCACTTTTGAAGTTGCTTTTGTTTTACAATAGCTCACGTACTCTTTTCTTTTTCGTTAAAGGCATATGCTACAGATGACAGGAAAGTTTGGGTATTGTCTTGGCCTGGACAGGTTAGATTAATTAGGTGTAATTTACGTTGTTTTTGTTCGGTGTATCTTTTTTTAAAATAAATTTATTTATTTCATGCACAACAAATTACTTTACAATACGGTACTAAAAACGACTTAAGGAAATACGAAACTACTTACAATACGATAATACTAACAAAACGATACTAATGCTACTAAGAACAATACTAATACTACGATACAATATAATTACTTACAAATTGATAAATTTAATTGAGTTACTTACAAATGAATAGTAACAGTATTTGCATTTGCTCAACTAGCCTCCAATAATTAATTGTTAAAAAAGTTGGACCATTTTTTGTTAAAAGAAAGTAGTTTATTTGTCGTAATCGCAGTATATTTTTCTAATTCAACTTTTTCGTAAACAATGGTTACCAAATCTGTGAACTGGGGTCTTTTTTCATCATGTACTGCGTTAATGTAAAGAAAATATCTTCCAATTATGATTGTGATTTAGGGTTAAACTGGACGATGTGTATCTTAAAACACCATATATAATTTCGTTTTGCTCCAAAGCAATGTTGCCTCCGCATGTAGCGTTGTATCACTTTGTAAATTTATTCTAAAACGATTTAGCAATGGGACATTCCACAAATAAATGGAGTGGTGTTTGATCAATGCCATGGCAATTAGGACAATCTGGTTGCTGTTTCTTTTTCATCTTGTACAGAAGTTTATTTGTATAGAGAATATTATGAATTATTTTATATTGAAACACGGATAATTTTACCTCATTTGTGACTCGAAAAAGAAGTGAGGAGATTTTTTGTCTTTCTTGAAAGATAAAGCCACGTTCAATGAGTCTTCCCTCTGCAGTTGGAGGAGGGAGGTGCTGGTGATTAAGTAAAGTATTGTAAAGTGTTTTGCATGCGAGCTTTTCGATTGCAAGTGGTACGTATTCAGTTGACGGTAGAAGACATTCCTGCTTTAGCATAGTTTTCCATTCCTGTGGTATTGCAGATAGAAGACTGTAATACTGAAGAAAATTACTCTTGACGTTGTATTTCTGCATGAAGGTTGTAAAAGTCATCAAGGTGTTGCTTTTGTTGTCGAAAAGGCATGAAAGATTATCAATGCCGACTTTTTTCCAACCAAGGAAAAAAACAGATGACTTGGTCACTCGAATAAACTGATTGTTCCATATTATTTGATTTAACACGTCTTCTTTTGTTTTCGGGTTAGTGCTACTAATTTTCTGCCAGTGGGAAATTATATCTCGATAGAATTTTGGTAAGTTTTCATTCAGGGGTAAATATTGAATGTTATAGTTACCGGAAAAGAAGGTTGCCGCCGACATTGGAAAGTAAGGATAGTGGGATAAATTTCCATGGTCTTTTATCGTTAGCGCATAAGCGCTTTACCCAGACTATCTTTAAAGCTTTATCAAATAACGTAAAATTTAACATATTAAGTCCTCCCTCCCTCTTAGTTTTGATTATAGTCTTTTTTTTGAGTTTTGGATTCTTGTACTTCCATATGTAATCGAATATTATGTTATTTACTTTATCGGTAAACCCTTTTGGAGTGTCTAACACGCTGCAGATAACAGTTAGTTTGGATATTGCCAACGTTTTTCCTATATTTACTCTTCCATATATAGATATGTCTCGAGACGACCAAATGTTCAGTGTCTTGTTAAGTTTTGGCAACTTTTCAAAGAAGTTTCTTTTAGTGGCAAATTCTTCATCATATGAAAAATATACACCCAAGGCGTAGAGAGGCTCATCATTTAATTTTAGATTTAGAATAGAATCCTTTCTCTGACGCAATGATCCCAGCCAAAGTATTTCTGATTTACATTGATTTATTCGGAGACCAGAACAGTTTTCAACTTGTTGCAGCAGATCAAAGAGCCTATGAACAGACCGAATATCTTTAACAAAAACAGTTGTGTCATCGACGTACTGGGTTATTTTTATAGATTTATTTGGATCAATTTGAATACCTTCTATTTCCCTACAGCGTTTAATTGCATTGCTTAAAATTTCTACACCAATAACAAACAAGATCCCAGAGAGTGGGCAACCCTGCCTGACACCTCTGCTTAGATTAAAATGTTTGGTGGCAAAGCCATTGTTCAAAACACAACTTGATATGGTATTATACAAGACTGTGATCCATTGTCCAGTCGTAATTGAGGACCAAAGTTAAAAGCTTCAAGGCATTTTTGAAGGTAGCACCATTCAATAGAATCGAAAGCTTTTTCAAAATCAAGAAACACCGCTATGCCTGGAATGTTTTTCTTTTTAGTAAAGGACATCATGTCTGTTATGATTCTGATGCTCTCACCTATATATCTTCCCTCTACGTATGCTGTTTGATTCGGGCTAATAATTGTGGGTAACACTTTTTCCAGGCGTAAAGCTAAAGCCTTTGTAACAATTTTGTAGTCGTTGTTCAATAGGGAAATTGGTCTCCAATTTTTTGAGGTATTTTTTATCGTTGTCTTTCTTTGGTATTAACGATATAATACCGCGTTTGTGAGATTGACATGTCACCATTTTCAAAGGCATAGTTAAAGCTATCAACCATGATTTGACCAATGGCATTCCAGAAGAACTGGTAAAATTCAATAGTAAAGCCATCGGAACCAGGTGTTTTATTACTCTTAAATTGTTTCAGCGAATTGTTCGGTGTATCTGTATGTACAGGTATATTTTACCTGCTTCCGATATGGCTGTGCTGTGACAGAAACTGTATTCTTATTGTATTTTTGGTCCATGTTGTAGATTGTTATTTGTGTGAGTCAGATATATTGGACTCAAGAGGTGCATGAAGCTATTCGCTCTGGACCCCACGGACTGAAAGAATACCATGAAAAACTCACCCAGCAGGTAAGTGAGATTCAGTTAGAGTTACACTCCTTTTAATATTACCCCCCCCCCCTCCGGGGAGGGGGTACTCCCAGAAAAATTGGGTGGGTGTGTGCAGCATATATAGATATATATATATATATATATATATAAGCTATTTACAAGGAATCCGGTGTCCCTCTAATATCGTCCCTACCCTTTGGGGCCGCACATACCTATGTAGCCTATAAAAGAAGTACTCCCCCCCCCCGGGAACATTACCTTACACTTGCAAGAGAAACGTTTAGACTTTTCATCGATTATCATGCGTTTCCTCTTTAAATTTCCTATTGCAAAACTTGCAAGTAAGGACAAATGAAGCTGACATTAGTGACATTTTAAACAAAACTATTCAGTACAAGTGAATATATGAAAGATTATATATTTGAACTGCGGAGAAAGATATGAAGACGTGATTGATCATCGCAGTTTATACACAACTTAAGCAGTTGTGAAATTAAAGCCTGAAAAAAAAAATTCAGGCTTTAATTTCACAACTGCTTAAGTTGTGTATAAACTGCGATGATCAGTCATGTCTTCAAAACTCTTCAGTATTGTTCTGATTACTTTGACGGATGCTCAAATGTGTGTAGTACAGTAGAACCCTGGTAACTCGAACTCTGAAGGGAAACGAAAAACTGTTCAAGTTAGCGGGGTTTCGAGTTACCGGGGTCGATTAAAATATTCAATTTTCAAGGTTAATAATTAGTAGTTTATTGATTTTCAGCACTTCGGTATACAATACAGTGCAAATTAAACTTATTTCACGAGAAACTAATACATTTTGCATTCTTACGACAATGCAGTACTATGAATGTAACTTAGTTTATTTAATACACTCAATGATCGTTAAATAACTGTCAAATACGTGATCTGTTCATTGCACATTGCTCCAGTCTGTTCTAGTGTTAGAATTCGATGACACGATAAGAAACGGCTTAATGGGATATCTCAATGGGGCATCCGTGGCGAGTTATAAGAACCAGAAATTCGAGTTATCGGGGTAAATTTTGATCAAAGGAAACGAAATTTAGTTCGAGTTGGCGGGGTTTTCGAGTTATCTGAGTTCGAGTTAACCGAGTGAAAATGACTGAAAAGTTGAGACAAATCTAAGGGAACTCAGACTCAGTTCGAGTTATCCGAGTTCGAGTTGCCGGGGCTCTACTGTAGTAGTAAAAATCAAGTAAATTATCATGACTTTCTTCTTTAAATTTCCTGTTGCAAAACTTGCAAGCAAGGACAAATGAAGTTGATATAAATGACATTATTCAGCTTTCAGACATTGTAGTGCTAGTCCGCGGCAAGCTGTCGAAGCAGAACAGGACCACTCTTGGAGCACTTGTAGTGATTGATGTTCATGCTAGAGATGTGGTTCATGACATGGTAGAGAAAGGTATTCACACAAATGTCTCTCTACAGAAGTCAGCTTTTACAATGCCCACAAAAATGTTCTGAGCTATCATGAAATTGTACATTTTGGCAGGTGTTTCTCAGGAAAATGATTTTCAGTGGCTGTGTCAGATGCGTTACTACTGGGAACAGGACAACTGTCTAGTGAGAATCATCAATGCCACTGTGCGTTATGGATACGAGTACCTTGGCAACTCTGGCAGGTAACAACCCAAAACTTTGCATTCACTTACTGTTTGATTCAACGGACTAAGTTATTTGTAAGTCAACAGAATTATGCATGTATATTGTTTTGTGTGTACAGGCTCGTCATCACCCCCCTGACAGATCGTTGTTACCGTACTCTTGTGAGTGCTTTTCACTTAAATCTGGGGGGAGCACCAGAGGGTCCTGCAGGGACTGGCAAGACAGAAACAACTAAGGTGTGATATGCAAGCAAATAGTTCACTGCATTTAATTTTATGCATGCTCAAGCTTACAGTTGATGTGTTTTACGTGTGTTCAGGATTTAGCAAAAGCCCTTGCTATACAGTGTGTGGTGTTTAACTGTTCAGATGGACTGGATTACCTACAAATGGGCAAAGTAAGTAGAGTTTATTTTTGTGGTTTTTGTTTTTGTGATAGCACGAGGTTAAATTGATTGACTGATTGGTTAAATATCGTATTTCTATTTAACTATTAGATTATGAGCTCGAGATTTCTATGAGATGATTCGGCCGAATCAACTATCAACACAATAGAAATGTAGAGCTCTACTCTGATCTAATTGTTTTAGAATTCTAACTAATTTCTTTTTTTTCAAATAACCATTACCAATCATTTCTCAACGTGGTATTAAATTTCACGCTTGAACAAAATCTGAAAAATTGCGTGGACTGAAATATTATTTGGAACTTACATTTATGCACGCACGCTCGTCACTTCATTGGAATATCTTGAGGTTTTAAAGTCGGAGAAACGAGAAATTATTGATATTGTGTAATTAGACTACGAGCCCGAGTTTTCTTTGAGCCAATAATAAAGGAAGCGTAGTTGAGTTGACTATCGCTCAAAGAAAACGAGGGAGAGATGTTAGTCTAATTGTTTTAGTAGACTCTGAAGGATTTCAGCACAAAACCTTTAATTTTGAGTATTTTTAAACTTAAAATTAAGCATACGTTTCAGGTGCAAGAGAAACGCAAGCGATCGCTGTCTGTAAGCGAACAGAAGACGATGAGAGAACCAATCAAACTTAATCGGATTCGCCGATATCCAACAGAATATAGGCTGAGTGGCAACTAATTAAACAATAGAGTGTTTCTGTCGAGGAACTATCGGTTGATAGTTGCCCCGCGGAAATTTGATGTTCTTAAAACAAATATTTGCCCGAGAAGCGAAGCTTCGAGGGCAAATATGCTAGTTTTAAGAAAATCAAATTTCCAAGGGGTAACTATCAGACCGATAGTTCCGAGACATAAACACTCTATTGTCTTTATTGTTCACCACTAAAATTTCTTCCGTGCGCCAGTTCAAAAATCATATTGAGTTATTTTCAACTTTTTTAGATGAAAGCCGTGAAAGCCAAACGTTAAATTTGAAAAAGAAAACAAAAAAACCCCTCTCATTATGAATTCAATTGTTTATTTTCTGTAAGCCCGCTTGTTGACATAAATATTTTCACGGACGAGTACTATCCATCCGGGTATTTTCCTCGGACGGGCACTATGGGCTGATAGTGTCTCTCCGCGGATGAACACTATTGCGTCACGTGATCAGTTTGAACCGATAAGAATCGGAGAAAATTTAGTGGTGAACTATAATGGTTGTTAGAAAACAGTCCTAAGAAAATACGCGCGCTGATTGGTTAAAAATCGTGTTTCTAGAACTCAACAGAAACACAGAACTAGCACGAGCTGTTGACGTAATGATGGCGCGAGCAAAGAGAATTTACATTTTGATAATCAAAGTTAACAAGTTGTTTTCCTTTTTTTCGTCGCTGTGTTTTCTAAAAGAAGTAGAAAACATGTTCTCCGTGTTTCTGTCGAGTTTTAGTATAAATCTACTAGCATTCTATCACGAATGCCGTTCTCTGATTGGCTACACTGCTCACCATCTATTCTGTGATTGATAGTGAGTTGCGTAGCAGTGTGCGCTTGTTAACAGAACGACGGCCGCTTCTTTGCGTTTTCGAGGTGTCTGTCAAGAGTATTTAGATAAAGTTTTGAACGACTAACAGATTTATACTAAAACAATTAGATTATTCGCTCTCGATTTCTATGAAAAAGCTGTGGAAACACTCACCTGGGGCTCGTATTCCCACAGCATTTCTCGTTCTCCCAAACTTCCACTCGTGTTTCTATTAAACAATTAGATTATTCGCTCTCGATTTCTATCGCGCGATAGTTGACGAGGGGGCAGCCCGAGTCAACTATCACASGATAGAAATCGAGAGCGAATAATCTAATTGTTTCAGTATAAATCTACTAGTCGTTCAAAACTTTATCTAAATCCGGGTATCTTAGCCAGTCAGATTGCAGCATTTGCATTAATACACTGGTAGAATTCTACTAAAAGTCGATAGAAAGACAAAAAACTTGTCATATTCATCGTTCGTTATTTTATTTAGAAAGCTTTCTTAAAAAATAGGATTTACTTTTTGCGTGTTTCAATCGAGTTATGGGAGCATTCGTGAAAGTTTGGGATAACTCAAAAAAGCTGTGGAAACACTCGCCTATTGGCTCGTGTTCTCACAGCATTTCTTGTTCTCCGTACTTGTTTTCTTGTACTCGTACTCGGTGGAAACACGAAAAGTGTTTCCTATTTCTTAATTTATATTTACATTGCCATTTTGTCAGTTCTTTAAAGGTCTTGCATCCTGTGGTGCTTGGGCATGTTTTGATGAATTCAATCGCATTGAGCTGGAAGTTCTGTCAGTGGTAGCCCAACAGGTAATCATTCTCGGCTCTTTTCAGAATCTGATAACTAAACCAATCTAATTGATATAGCTAGCGCCAGACACCATACATCTGCAAGAAACCATAATCTATCCCTAAACCTCTTGTTTTTGCACGTCATGGGTTCTGTCTCAAGCCATCAGCCGAATAATTAATGCTTGATATTGTTTTGTTTGGCAGATTCTGTGTATTCAGCGTGGTATAGCCGCTCATCAGGATAGGTTTATTTTTGAAGGAACGGAGCTGAACTTGAACTCCAATTGTTTCGTGGCTATTACGATGAATCCTGGTTATGCAGGAAGGTCAGAGCTCCCTGATAACCTCAAGGTACAACACAATCAACTCATGCTCAGGTTATTTTATAATAGTTGTTGTTGCAGTTATCAACGGCTTGCAACACAAACGAGGCGAAAGGGTCAATTCTGCATTGTATTGACCCTTTCGCCTCGTCTGCATGCCTTTTAAAGCAAAAGAATATTTGACCGCAGACTCAACTGCAATAACAGCTATTGAGAATGTTGTGAACACTGTATAAGGCCCAGGTCCTAGCCAGTCACATAGGAAATAATGAATACCACAATAAGCTAAAATATACATGTTTGGCCATGTACGTGTTTGGCTTAAAAAGTGCGACGACGCAGATGTTTTTATTTTACTCCCTCCAGCTTTCAGATTTATAGTCGGGCAATTTCAAATGACAGTGTCACAGTAACCACTTATACACTACATTATATGGTTCTCGCCTTCCTCTAAGGGTTCCCCCGGTACTCCAGTTCTCCTCTCTCCTGAAAAGCAAGCACTTCCCAATACTAACTCGACCAGGATAGTAGACTCACATGAAAACCAGCTAGAGCTGACGTGGCTTTCGCTCTTGATATTGTTATAAATTTACATCATTAATAGAACGTTACGAATAGGCGAACTGGAAGAGTTCATTGAAAGTAAGTGGTACGGTGGGGGTGTGGTGTGATACACCTAGTGGTACCAATTAATGATGATAATTGTATGCTATGGTGTTGTTTAGGTGTTGTTCCGCACTGTAGCCATGATGGTACCAGACTATGCCCTGATTGGAGAAATCATGTTGTACTCCTATGGATTTGTAGATGCTCGTAATCTGTCAGTAAAGATCGTTACCACCTACAAACTGTGTTCAGAGCAGGTCAGAGTAGCTGCTAGACTTTCTAAACGTCCTTTCCAATAATACCTCCCCGGGCCAGCGAAGGATTAAGCAAAGGTCGACTTGTGGCAAGTCTATGTAGCTGCTAATGTGTGCTGACCATGTCTTGGTCTAGTTGCATTTCGCAAATTTACCTTGTTTATGTTTCATTTCCTCCGAAACAAAACTAAATTGTTTTGGCTTCAGGGTTGGGTGAACTTTTGACATAGTGGTGATATTATCCAATCAAAAAAAAAAATAGGGAATAACGCTTTAAATACACGTTTATCGTTACTAAATTGTAAAACAAACCTTTCTTGTATTTTGTTGATTTTTATTGATTTGAAAAATTACATACAATTTGTTACGCTAAATCCCACATACCTACATTTACATACGCGCGCCTCAGTACCTGTTACCTGATAATGTTAATACAGTGCAGCAATAAAACGAGATGGTATATCAACCTACTTTGTATTTGTCCCAGTTCATATTCTGAGTTGACAATTTATTATTTGATTTGGCAAAACAAACCTGCGAAAAGGAGTTCAATGCAGTAATGAAGTGATCTCCTCCGTCGTCTAAAAGCTCGGTCTCCCAAAATTCCCAACACCCGAATCATTCACTATTTCCTTTTTAAATGCCTCCTTGCTGATGTTAAAACAACCCTTTTAGGATTTAAATTTGCAACTGCATGGAAGAAGTCAAATTTGTAATGTAGTTAATAGTTATTGTAGTGAGAATGTTTGTTTTGGAGAGAGGCTGAGTGATACCTTTTGATCAACAGCTGTCATCCCAGTTCCACTACGACTATGGTATGCGTGCAGTCAAAGCTGTGTTGGCAGCAGCTGGTAACCTGAAGCTCAAGTATCCAACAGATGACGAGAATGTACTGTTGCTGAGATCAATCATGGATGTCAATCTACCCAAGTTTCTTTCTCACGATATTCCACTGTTTGAAGGAATCATTTCTGACTTGTTCCCTGGTGTGGCCTTGCCCAAGGCCAACTATGGTACTTTCCTCGACACAGCCAAAGAGGTCAGTTTTTTCCGCTAAGAACTCAGGAAACAATTAAAGAAGAACGAATGTCCTTTGACAATCTTTGTTTGTTTATGTATGCTCCAGTTAACTGTCCTCGTTATATCTTTTTCAGATATGTGACAAAAAGAATCTCCAAATGGTTGATTTTTTCAGTGAAAAGATTATCCAAACTTATGAAATGATGATTGTTCGGCATGGGTAAGAAATAGGCTGGATTTTGCTTGTCCTCATTTTACCGTTTGGGATATTGTACTGTATAATGGTCTAACCGTATTTATTTTGTAGCTTTATGATGGTAGGCGATCCATTCTCCGGGAAGACTAAGGTACTAGAAGTACTGGCTGAGACACTGAATGTACTGACAGACAGGGGTTATGATGATGAAAATGTAAACAAGGTAAATGATCAGGCATTTTCCTATCTAAAAATGCCATAAGGCTATAATAAAAGATATCGATACCACTGTAAAACTGATCTCTGTCTTATAAAACCAACCTAACTACCCACAAAAGATAGTACTGAACTATAGGCATGGGTTACAGCGAACACTTAATCAAAAAGTTATGCATACTGAAAAGTTACACAGAATTAAAAACAGTTCAATGAGTTTTACTGTAGTAGCAAGAAATAAATTCAAGCTTTCTAAAGATTTCATAACGAACAATATTTATTTCCCCTAACATTTAAGAAATAGAAAACACGTACCGTGTTTCTATCGAGTTTTAGTAGAATTCTACTAGTATACTAGTGCAAATGCTGCAATCTGATTGGTTGAGCTACTCGTATACTATCAGCCATTAGAGTGCAGTGGCTGTCGGTCGTCCACGAAATGCGACGTTTTTATCGCTTTTCCGAAGTTTTGGAAGAAAGTTTAGATGTAAATGCATGATTAAATTCCTGAGAAGACCAAAAGAAGGACATAAACGGATTCATGACTTGAAATTTAAAAAAGAACTTGAAATTATTGAAAAACAGGTGCGCGCGCGTAAACAACCGCAAATTTATCAAGGACAATTCAATACGTGCGATTTTGTTAAAGGGTAAAGTTCACTAATGCGTGGAAAAATATTTGGAAACCATTGTTTGCGTTAATTTAAGTTAGAACTCTACTAAAACAATTAGATTCGCTCTCGATTTCTATGAGGTGATAGTTGATTCGGCCTTCGGCCTTATCAACTATCACCCCATAGAAATCTCGAGCGGAAGTTTGGGAGAACGAGAAATGCTGTGGAACACGAGCCGTAGGCAAGTGCTTCCACAGCTTTTTCGAGTTCTCCCAAACTTTCACGAATGCTCCCATAACTCGGTAGAAACATGGAGAACATGGTTTCTATTTCTTTTAGAAAACACCGCGACCAAAAAAAGGGAAACAACTTGTTTAGTTTGATCATCAAAATGTAAATTCTCTTTACTGGCGCCATCATTACGGCAACAGCTCGTGCTAGTTCTGTGTTTCTATCGAGTTCTAGAAACCATTCAGCGCGCGTATTTTCCTAGGGCGGTTTTCGGAGTGAGCAACTTTACAGCATCTTTTCTAAAAGCTAGCATATTTTTGGCATATTTTCACTATTTCGAAGTCACATTCATAAGTAATTGATATTTTAGCACGTTTTCTTTGGAAACTCACAAGAAGTTCACTAGAAACTCTTTTGCTTTTCGAACGGTGTTGATAGATTCCAACAACGAAGCTTTTATATAAGTACTCCTTGTTTCAACGAGTCCTAGAGGAGATTTTCATCGAAGGAAAGCAATATATAAGCTTAATATTTGCGTGAGCATTTGTTGGATTTCGTTTGTTTACACGAGTCGAGCAGACTATGCGTAGCAAATTTAAGAACAGTAATGCGAAATTTCGACTCAAAATCACTATTTTTTCAACTTACATTTCTAACTGTGACCGCAAATTGTTCCTCAACTTCCTCAGTGTCTTCCAAAACGTCCAAAATGGCCACAAAATCGTCTCCCCACAGAAACAGACTGTCTGTACTGTCCGCCATCGTGAATGAACTTGTGCACGGTCAGCGTCACGTGACGGGTCTGTTCAACATCGGAGACCGCGCTATTGTTTAACCCTTTGAAGTTTGCCTAGTTTCATAACCATTGCCCTCTACTAACTATGATTCCAAATATGAATATGCTGGATGTAACTCCATTTCCAGAATGGGTATTCCGTGTTAATATTCCAAATATGGTACAACTAGCTCAAAAATGGCGGAGGGCAAGGCGCTTTCTTCTGACAATGAAGAATCCGATGAAGAACAACATCAAAGAGATCCAATCCAGGTTACAATTGAAACATGTGGAGTCCAAAAGACACCAAAACACGAGCAACTATAAAAAATTTTTAAGCAACTTTTGCGATTTTAAGAAACTTTTGAGCAAGTTTTGGGATTTTTTAAAGCAACTTTTTAACATTTTTTGAGCAGAATATATTTAGGCCTATTTGTTAGGCCTTCTGTTTTGAATTTCAATAATCTCAAACTACACAAAACAAAAGCTGTGAAAAACATTTGTATACCTTCCAAACAACCCGGCCCTTAATAACAAAATAAACCTGACGTGAGCCCGCGATCCATTCGAAAACCAGTACTTGGTCAGCGGTCAACTTTAAAAAACATATGAACTCGATGAGCTCTAAAGTTGAGCCCACGATAAGGTCACGTGATGCTGGTCAGCGGATACCATGTTTTGAGAACTGTCAATTGACCATAATATGGATGTCCAATATCAAATATGTACGCTGTAAACCAAGGCTGCATGCCTCGTTCGACCAAAAGTATGACCGCCATGTTGCGCGACGTCGTCGTCGTCGTCGTTGGGCGCACGCTCCCGCGATCCACGCCGCAAGCTATGTTGACCATAAAAAAAAGAGTTCTGCTCTTATAGTCGTTCCTATAGTTCTGTTGGCGGCCCTTCGGGCCGCTGGAGCTCTGCCAATAATATACTAGTATTTAATTGTAAATAACTGAAATAAATAAATAAATACATACATACATAAACAAATAAATAAATAAATTAATTAATTAATTCATTAGCTTAGATTAGCTAAATACTCCCTTAAAATGCTACGGTTAAATACATCTAAGCTAGTTATAGTCTTCACGTCATTGCCGAGACCGTTCCAAATTTCAACCCCTCTATAAGTAAAGGAACGTTGACCAGTCGCTAAGGGACAAAATGGAGTTTTAAGATTGTTTACAGATCGCGTTACAGATCCCCTTCGTAAGTGCTTAAAAGCCCTTACGAAGGGGTATTGTGAAAGGAAAAGCTCGATTAAAATTAAAATTTTAATTGAGCTGTTCCTTTTACAATATGCTGAATCATCATTTTAAATAGCTTTAGCTTCCGTTTGAGCGAAATGATGTTAGTTCCGATAAGAGGTACCTCACAGTTCAATTGAGAGGACCTAGGTATCTTAAACACGAACCTCTTTTCAGTATGAAAACGAAAGACTTTAGAGATTGAGATGGGTAAACAATGCAATTGTAACTGAAATTCCTTTCGATCTTCAATCAAATGTTTGTCGGCTCCTCCCAGCTTCCGACTACTGCCGAGCGCGCGGTAATCAAATCAAATCGTTGAGCACAGTTCAGACAACATAGTCGGAAGCTAGGAGGAGCCGCCAACATTTGATTGACGGTGGAAAAAATGCATTTGTCGGTTGAGCTTTGAAGTTTAGAGCCCGCATGTTTTTGAGAGGCGCAGTAACACGGGATGTTGTTTTCTTGTTAGGTGTGGTTTCGTGTAATAAACCCAAAGGCTATTACTATGGGACAGCTGTTTGGTCAGTTTGATCCTGTCTCGCACGAGGTTAGTGCAAGTACTTTAAACCCTCAGTTGTTCATTTCTCTCCCTTGTCGTATCTGAATCATTGACTCAAACGTTTTTTCTTTCTTTCTTGAAGTTCAAACTGTGCTATGTAATAGTTCTTAATGTAGGTGATTTTTTTACAGTGGACGGATGGTATTGTGGCTAACACGTTCCGTGAGTACGCTTCGGATCAAACTGATATCAAGAAGTGGGTTATTTTTGATGGACCTATTGACACCTTGTGGATTGAGAGCATGAACACTGTTCTAGATGACAACAAGAAGGTTTGAATAAACGCACATTACAGACAGCTTCACCCATGACTTTGTAATTTCTCACTGTTTTTGTTTGTTTGTTTTTAGCTCTGTTTGATGAGTGGAGAGATAATTCAGTTGTCAAATGTGATGAGCTTGATCTTCGAATGTAGGGATTTATCACAAGCCTCTGTAAGTATCTGCAAACTCAGCGAATATAAAAATAGTAAGTAAGCCTAACTTGGTGGTGATCTTTACGTAAGGCGGTTGTGGTATCATAACTGTTTCTTAAGCCTGATTTCGTTTTGCTTTTCTTTGTTTTGTGCACTTAATTGATAATGAACTTATAAGCTGTGTTGTGATTCAAAATACTGATGTTGTAATTGGGCATAATATAAAAACGATAAAATCTAGTTGACACTGATTACAAGAGATCAAACCTAACTTGATTTATTTTAATCATGCTAACTTGTAATGGTTGTATCTATCCAGCCGGCCACAGTAAGCCGATGTGGTATGATCTACTTGGAGCCCAGCTCCCTGGGCTGGGAGCCTGTGTTACAATCCTGGTGTAACACTCTGCCTGACGAGCTCAGCAGCGAGCATGGAAAACTCATAATGGCGCTCTTCCACTGGGCGTTACCTGCTTCTATCACTTTTTTACGCAAGCATTGTAAGGTGAGTGCTACCTACCGCATTGATCTTCTCAGTGTCAATGAAATGTGACCAGCTGTCATTTCTACATGTCTGGTTACGTTGGTTGCACACAGATTGTTCAGTATTTGTCTATTATTTTCCTTTCTTTTTTTGGTACTTTTGATCTTGAAAATGCTGGTATCTCTTCTTGTCAGACTCTTTATCAACCTAACACAATTCATCAGTCTGGTTATTGTATCGTAAGCAGAAAATTCTTCGTATGAATTTTTAACGCTTTTTACAAGTCGTTTCCAAGAATTCTTGAGCATTTACTGATTCGAACATGCTTTCTTGTGAAAGTTGTTAAAATTGTTTTTGTATTTGTTGTGTTTGATGTCGAATAGGAGCCTGTGTCCTTGCAAGACAGTAATCTCGCTCGCTCGCTTATGAACTTGGTGGAAATTCTCATGAAAGACATCCCTGCAGAGGATAACAAATACATGAAGTCATGGTTGATTGTAAGTTGTTTTGTCGCACTAATGTGTTCAGCGGTAATATCATGGTGATGATTGTGTATTAAAGGTGTGTTTTATTGATTGCAGTCATCGTTCATGTTTGCCTTGGTGTGGTCAGTGGGCGCTTGTGTGGATACAGACAGTCGAGTCAAATTTGATACGTTTTTCAAAGATCTAATGGCAGGAAAAATTGAAGAGCATGCTATTCCCTCGCTGGTGGGAAAGATTGAAGCACTTATTCCAAATGAAGGATTAGTCTATGACTACTTATTTGAGGTATGAAACATCAATGATGGTAATGTAATGTATTTATTTAGTATTAATCCCCCACAGTGTTTTTTTCTCATCATCAGCCCTTTTGGTATGGGACACATAAGGTGTACTCACTTCTACTTAGCGATAGAATATATAATTGAACTAGGTTTTCTTGTGCCTTTAGCGTAAGGGTCGTGGTAACTGGCTTCCCTGGACAAAGACTATCAAGGAAGGTGTAGCAGGGGGGAAAGGCCAGCGGATCAGCGATATCATTGTACCTACTATGGACACAGCTCGCTATTCACACCTAATGGAGATCATGTTTAACAATAACAAACCCCTGCTTTTCGTTGGTCCCACTGGAACTGGAAAGTCAGTTTATATCAAGGACAAGCTCATGAATGGAATCAACAGAGATGCGTATATTCCTGCCTTCGTTAATTTCTCTGCTCAGACGAGTGCTAACCAGACTCAGGTAACTGCAATGTTTGTCTGTGCATTTATCTAGCTGGGCTCAAACGAGTACTTTTTAGTTCTTTCCCCAGAACTATTTCCTCCCGGAAAAGAAATAACTGGTACTTCTGTTAAACATTTGTAGGACATAATCATGTCTAAACTGGATAAGAGACGAAAAGGAGTGTTTGGTCCACCAGTAGGGAAACGGTATGCGTTTACTAGCTGTTAATGTTTCCATGTAATTAACGACACAGATTCTCTGTTATCATCAACATTTCACCGTGGTTTTACTATTTCAACAGGTTTATAATTTTCGTGGATGACGTAAATATGCCTGCTCTAGAAAAGTATGGTGCCCAGCCTCCAATCGAACTTCTTCGTCAGTACTTGGACCATGGGAACTGGTATGACCGTAAGGACACGTCTAAACTGGCACTGATTGACCTTCAGTTCGTGTGTGCCATGGGTCCTCCTGGAGGTGGTAGAAACCCCATCACTCCTCGCTTCTTAAGACACTTCAATGTGATCTCAGTTGCCACGTTTGGTGATGACACTATGACAAGGATTTTCTCCTCTATCGTCAACTTCTATTTCAGAGTAGGTTTATTGCTCTTACTCTTCAAAAATAAACAATTCCTTCTTTAAACGTATTGACGATTTAGTTCAGAAGCTAGCTTACCCAATTGTCTCTCCCCTGGGGATGACATTCCCTTATCTCAGAGAGGTCCCACTAGACATGGTACATTTTATGAATCGGGTCTTAATAGTAGATTGTAATCATTACTTTAAGATATTAGCATTTTAGCTCCCCTATATAAATTCGAGTCAAAATAAAGTTATGTATGTATGTATATATGTATGTTTAAGTTTTAGATGGAGTCAAACCATGTGTTTCGTTCTTAAAGCAGGATATTACGTTGTGGTTACAGATATTAAACAGTGTCTGACCAACTCAGAACGTTGAAATTCTTCATCAACAGGGCAGGGAAGTAAAAAGCGTTTTTCTTTAACAAGCTCAAAAACAGCAGCAGTCTGTACCTTTTAAATCTCCCCCTTTGATATGTGGACATCAACACTAGCTTAAACTTGCGCGGCAAAAAATAATTAATAGCTAAAGTAGATCATTTCTAGTAAGTATTACGTTCGCAAGAAGCGCAGTGATGTAAGAATTATGTCTAACAATTTCTTCGTAATCGTTTGTGTTTTCTACAGAGCAATGAATTTCCCAATGATGTCTATACCATGGGATCTATGATTGTCGGAGCCACAATGGAGGTAACAATGTATCCCAAAAGCTTTAGAGGAAGTCTGTTTGTTTTAAACACCGTGATATTGCATGTCGTCTGCACGTGATAATCAAGTTCTCATTTAAATCATGATTCGTTGGCTCATGATTATTTCTTCTGTCCAGGTGTACAAGCAAGCGATGGTTAATCTTTTGCCCACTCCAGCCAAGTCCCACTACACCTTTAACTTGAGAGACTTCTCTCGGGTGATCCGTGGGGTTCTTCTTATAAAAAAGGATGCTCTCACTGACAAGAAAACGCTAAGCAGGTATAAAGATAAATGCTCTTTATCCATGTTTCAAATTGTGCACTACCTCTTAACTTTTCACAAATTGAGGAAAGGGCATAAAAATTGGCTGACCTGTATTTACGACAGCTAGAGACATCCTCCGATTGCCTGCGTAATTCAGAATCACAATCAACAAGTTGAACTTACATCCTCTCGCTCTTAACTCGGTATTCGCCGCTCGACTTGTGTCTAAGTCTAATTAGCTGCGTCATTAAAATCACAATGATCAAGCTTAACATCGACAGACGCTAGAGAAGTACGGGTACCTCCAATTGGCCTTATTCCACAACGACACCCGCGGGTGAAATGAACATTGATGTGCGAAGAAAAGGCGAATCAGCAAGAAAGGAGCTGCTTCGAAACATAAACTATTAAGAGAAATGGTTGTTGCAAGAATGCGAAAAAAGAATGGATGTTTACCACCTAGGCCTCCTGTGGTGTCAGACATTAAGAACAGCTAGTTGAGTTGTCCGGTTGCGAAAATGATCACTCTAAAGGGAAAAGAATTCTACGCCTTATAAACGCCCCGCAACAGTCAACGGCTTGCCTTAGTCACAGACAAAATGATCGTTCCATTGACTTACGGACGGAATGACTATTCTGGGATAATTTTAAATATATCCTATTCCGAAATCGGGTCACTCAAACGCGCGCTATCTAGCAAAAGCTAAAATACTGCACTTGCTTTCGTACGATTACTCCTTTCTAAGAAAATTATATACGCCGCGCATGACCACTGCAATACACTGCAGTACAACTAAAAAAATGCAAAATTAATCTGACTGCTGTACAGCACCGTAAATGATCTCCAGACCGGAAGTGGTTCCCAAATTGGACCGCAAATGATCCCGTCGGAAAACGAGGAATGGCATATAATTCTCATGATGAATAGTTCTTCGGATAGATGATAATAATAATAATAATAATAATAATAATAATAATAATAATAATAATAATAATAATAGCAAACTATATAATAGTATAATAGTAACAATAAAAATAACAATCGTAATAATAATAGCGCCAAAATTCAAAAGCGCTGTTTAAGCTAATGAAAATAAAAAATAGATTTAGGTTACCGTCGAAGCTTTGCGGAATGCCTTGTAATCGGCTTTGTTAATCATAACATTTCATAACAATTTAAAGAAGCGAAAATTGCGAACGGATAGTCAGATAGATCAATCATTATTCTGCATCTCTATTTACTACTTTTCTCGCCTGCACGTTTGGTCATACCCTAGGTGCGGTTTCCAGTTTTGGTAAATCACGCGAAATAAAAAACCCTTCTGATGCGCAGGGTACTCTTGTTATCGATTTTGAAAGTTGGTAGCAAGAAATTATAACGGATATCGGGTTGTAGTGGTGTAACCTATGTATCAGCTTTACGTTGTCCATAAAGCAGGACTTCGTTGGTCTGGAAATCCTACACGAAAACGGCTCATGGCTGCCATTCCTTTTTTAGTTCGTAATGATATCCAGTTTCTCGGTTTTCCCCATATGTTTCACACGGGAGAATGAAGTTAAGTGTTAGATCGCTCAAAATACTACGCAAGTCAACCAATCAGCGCTCCTGTCCAGATTCAGTTCACGTTTACATCATCACTATGGAATTTATGGCTGCAAATTGCAGATGCGAAAGCCAAACCGGCTTGGAGTGTTGAGATGCGGACTACAAGTCTTTTATGTCTTCGTTATGGTAGCATTAAGCTATTATTGTTGTAGATCGATCCAGTTGAGGAAATGGTTGCGCTGTTTACGAGCTTTTATTTTTACCGTGATTTTGCAGCAGAATTGTCTAGAGAAAATGAGATGGAATTATTTATCATGAGAATTATGTTTAAATTGTAGCTTACGTTGTAAGTATCTTTTCTTTACATTTATTCTAAGTTATCGTTTGAATGATGAAAATAAAATAAATAATTTAAAACATGGAACCAAACTCCATGCAATTCCTCCTTTTCCGGCGGGATCATTTGCAGTCCACATGGGGGATCATTTGCGGCCCAATTTGAGGATCATTTCCGGTCTGGGGATCATTTGCGGTGCTGCACACTTACTCTTAGACTCGCTGAAGTAATTTTCAGCCATACAGTGTAAAACGTAATTTTTATGTGTTTCAGATTGTGGGTTCATGAGGTGTATCGTGTTTATTATGATCGCCTGGTAGATGACAATGACAGGGCCTGGTTGCACAGGTAGGTCTGAATCATTTATTTATTACCTCTTATTAACCATGCAGAAGGTCTGTATGGGAGAATCTTGACCGAGGTCGTGAGTACAGATCGAACGCAGTGACGTCTGTACACACGACCGAGGTCAAGGTTCTCCCATGTAGACCGACTAAGCTTGGTTAATAAGATGTTTATCATATGGCGCAAACAAAAACAATTTAATTCGTTTAATGTGACTGGTTTGTACTAACCTGACTAACTGACATTTTGCTTGCGAACGGCGATGAGCTGAATTTAATTTTGCCAAAGTTTGCTCGTCCTCTTTAATCTTTTTTTTCATCATGCTTTTTGGCACTTCCATAAATAAATATTGTTAGATGAAAATAGTCAATGACTTTGCATTTTAGTTTGCAACTTTTTAAAAACATTACCGGTCTAGATGCCGGTCTAGATGGGAAGTCAAGACCGTTTTCAATATCGATTTCAGCCGATCAAATTCGTCAATTTGGTAGTTCCCAGTCCTTGTGAGACAGAGCCATATAATAATGTTACATATCAACTTTGTCTGAATGATTGTTTTTATTTTCTCTCTATGTAGCTTACTAAAGAAAGTCACCAAAGAGCACCTGAAAGATGATTTTGACTCTCTTTTCAAGCACTTGTCCTCTGACCAGAAAACGGTAACAAAATAAATCATGACCTACAGTTTTTTGTTTCTTCGTTGGTTTTTTGTGATTGTAGAACTGGCTGACAGTGACTTATCACAGGTTAAGTAAATGCTATTGTCTATGCAGGCCTCTGAAGATGACATGAGAAGTCTGATGTTCTGTGATTTTCTTAACCCTGACGCGGTAAGCTCTCTGACAAACAGATTGCTTAATTATAACATATTTTATACGTAATTACCGCCAGGCTAAACGATGAATGACTACTGCTGTATAGTCGTTCGTTGAATTTTGAATCAAAGTTTGTTTTCCGTCAAACAAAGTTTAAGGCTATATAACATTGGATAAATGGACCAATCACATTTCAGGGAGCAAACTATTGCTTTAGTTTGTGTGTATGATGACTTGTGATGATGACTTGTGTGTATCTTGAGTTTTGAGATCTCTTTGTAGTTCATTTGCGTCATTTTCCTGAATTGAGATTAAACAATTATGTTAAACATTTTAAGCCCTTTAGAGTAATCGTTACTTCCTGTGAGGCTTATTACACTCTCACTGTAAACCAAACGACAAGTCAGTGCTATTTTAACCTTTTCAGATCGGCGAGGATCGCATGTACCAAGAAGTGGAATCTATTGATGAACTTTACAAGATTGTAGAGCAGTGTCTGGAAGAATATAACCAAACACATAAGACACAGATGAACCTGGTTATTTTCAGGTCAGATACAGTTCCTTCATTATTGTACTACAGAAGCATAGGTGATATGCTTCTGTGTACTATTGTCTGGGAACCCAATGTAGATGTAGACCATATCGGTGTTCAAGTTTGCATTCTTCAAGCCAATCATTGATTGGCCAGCCAGTTCAATTTTATTGCTCTGTTATTTCGAATTGATTTTACTTCCTTGTTGTTAATTTTCTGTGATTATAACAGGTATGTGTTAGAGCATCTGGTCCGCATCAGTCGTATTTTGAAGCAACCAGGAGGGAATGCTTTGTTAGTTGGAGTAGGAGGTAGTGGCAGACAGTCTCTCTCCCGCCTGGCGGCAGCTATTGCTGATTTCCATGTCTTCCAACCGGAGATCTCAAAGAGTTATGGTTTACCTGAATGGCGTGAAGACATTAAGGTCAGGGATACACTGACTCTGTGGTAAAAGCATGCGCATTGTGTCATCAACTTATGCATTATTTTGTTTGTCTTTAGACGATGCTGAAGAGTGCAGGATGTCAGATGAAACCCACAGTGTTCTTGTTAACAGACACCCAGATTAAAGAGGAGTCATTCTTGGAAGATGTTGACAGCTTACTTAACACTGGTGAAGTACCTAATTTGTTTGCAGTCGACGAAAAAGCTGAACTCAATGAGGTACCTCTAGCTTATCAAATCGTATTTTTCAGTTAGAATTTAAAAGGTTGAGAAAGTGATTTTCCTCCCAGTAGTAGCATACTATGACTAGGCATGTTCCTCTCTCTTTAGAGCGTCCGTCCAGCAGCTCAAGCGCAAGCCGAAGACAAGAATGCCGAATTCTCACCTCTGGCACTGTTTAACTTCTTTGTGAATTGTTGTAAAGAAAACCTTCATATTATGTTGTGCATGAGTCCTATTGGTGATGCATTCAGAAACAGACTCAGGCAATTCCCAGCACTAATCAACTGCTGCACCATTGACTGGTTTCAGGTAATATCACTCTTGTAGACTACTTGTATAACGCTACGTTAAATAAACAGTAGCACTCTCAGGGAAAATTAACGCCGTTGTCCTTTTCTCAAAATGGTTTCCTTATCTTCCATAGCAAGTAGCAACGTTTAGCTCCAAACCTCTGTAAAGTTGCTATCAGTGCAGTGTTCTGTTTCAGTGTTACGTACCTTGTGAATGAGAAACATTGTTGATAAAAATAACGAGATAAGCTACAATCGAAATAGTTATGAGGTACAAGCTGTGTTGTTGTTTTTTATTTTTATTTTTGGTTAGCCGTGGCCTGAAGATGCACTTGAGATGGTGGCTAACAAGTTCCTTCAAGACGTGGAAATGACTGACAATGAGCGCAAAGAAGTTGTGCCTATCTGCCAGTACTTCCACACCAGTGCTCGAAACTTGTCTGAAAGGTAACAGGACGCATTTTAAAAGTTTCCGATGTTTCAGTCGCAGCACTTGTTACAACAGTGTTCCAAACTGATTAAGCTATTTAACCATGCATTAAGCGGGTTCCCTTGGTTATATATTTTAAGTTCTTCCAAACTGTTATGAGAGCTGGTATGAGTTACTTATCAATAGAACTATACTGTGTGATTTTTGCTTTTAAATTAGGGTAACACACGTTTTGCTTGTGTATTTCTTTATTGTGCAAGGTATCTTGACAAACTCGGCCGACATAACTATGTGACTCCCACATCATATCTGGAGCTGATTTCTTCATTAAAAACACTACTAGGAAAGAAGCAAGACGAGGTGTGTCATTCGTTTTAGTTGCACGGGTAAAGTTACTCAAAAGTTACTTACTCATTACTCAAGCATTTCATCGCATATCTTTTTGCTAGTTTCATTAAACCACACTCCTGGCAAAACCATTTTCTTCCATGTCAATTCTTAGTATTCCGTTTATCGGGATGTTTATAAAAGTTAGAAGCTTTGGTCAGTTCTTTTTTTTCTTACAAAAGTGGATTTATGTGTCATAGTGTCTAACTATTATTTTGAAATACTGGTAAAGAATGTTATGGCTGCTTGGTAACATGCAATCTTATGTAATGTAGGTGTTGAAATCCAGCCTAACAGTTTATCTGTGATCCGTTGCAGGTGATGCGTAACAAGCATCGTTATGAAGTAGGTCTGGAGAAGCTGGCATTTGCTGCATCTCAGGTGCGTTGTTAACACTTGACGGCATTGTAAAGCTTCTATCAACAGCTAACTCGATCTTTTGTGTTTTGGTGTAGGTGGCCGACATGCAGAAAGAACTGGAGGAGTTACAGCCACAGCTTGTGGAAACAGCCAAAGAAAATACTAAGATGATGAAAGTATGAATGCTCCTTGTGTGGCAGTTATCTTCAATATCAGATCTTGAAGGAAGCACAACTGTTTAAACTATTGTTAATTCCTTGTTGGACAGGTCATTGAAAAGGAATCAGCTGAAGTCGAAGCTCGTAGTGAACTGGTAAGAAAGGACGAAGCAGTAGCCAATCAGAAGGCTTCAGAGTCGCAGGCCCTAAAAGAAGAGTGCGAGGGTGATTTGGCTGAAGCAATCCCTGCCTTGGAAGCAGCTTTAGCTGCTCTCAACACACTCAAGGTGTGTAGCGTACGTAAAATAAAATACACGTGTGAATGATTTCCGTCTGCGCGATAGGTTGCACGTAATTAGTTTTTTTCCTGAAATACAAGCAGTCCCTTCTTTCCTCTGTAATACTAAACATTGCTAATGCTAGTTAAAGGGGCTATAGTTAAGCTCTGTGAACATGTTAAGTGAGCCCGAGGCGGATACATTTGTTTCAGTATAATTTTCAGAGGTGGATATCAAAAGCTACAAAGTAATGGACTAAAACACGGATAAACTGACGCAATTGTTCGTTTGCATACACGTATGTAGCCGTAGTTTTTATAATACATCGATTATAAATTAAATTAAACATCGATTTAGACGGTAATAAAAGCGAGAGAGACACCACTGAAAAGAGATTCACATGGTTTTTGACTTCATACACAGTTGTACTCATCGTCTGAAAACGAGAACTTCCATAAAGAAAAACAAAGTTCGGTCACTTTAGCGATACCTCATGTTTTCAAAACCCGGAATTGGAGTGGTGTCTTTTAAATAAATGAGAGTTTCGTTCACCAACTGTCCGCCATGTTTACCCACTAGATGGTTAACGTAACAAATATTATCAATATCCTCCGCCTAGTGCGGTGAATATATTATCATAAGCCAACCTTTCGTCCAATCAGAAAGTCCAATTCTTGGATTCCCTTCTGGGAATTACACTAAATTGATTTATACTTTTTTCTGGCAGCCAGCAGACATTACTATCGTAAAGTCCATGACTAATCCACCCGCTGGGGTTAAGCTCGTCATGTCAGCTGTGTGCGTTATGCGGGACATCAAACCCGAGAAAATCAATGATCCCGCGGGAACAGGAAAGAAGATTCTGGACTATTGGGGTCCATCAAAGAAGCTACTGGGAGACATGAACTTTCTTAACAACCTTAAAGAATATGACAAAGACAATATTCCGGTGAGTCATTGGCATGTTCATCTCGTAAGGCTTGTTTGTTGTGGATTTTCTGTGCTGTTGCCGGGTATTCACTCTTAGCACCTCATATGGCCCAGCCTGTTCCTGGCGTTACGTTAGTTGGGGCGCAGCGCCAAAAACGGGGAGGGAAAAATTTAGGGAAAAGCGCGGCACACCAAGCCCCTTTCTCAATTTGTCGCTCCGCCGCTTTTCGCGTTGCGCGAAAGCCTGGGACAGCCTAAGAACCTACATATAACCACAGCCGTAAGATAAATTGAAGTAATGTTTAAAACGTTTGTTTGCAATTGTCAAGCCATCAGAGTTTTCCCATTCCTGCAGAATTTGTGACTCTTGCAGTTCTTTTAAGACGACTTCTAGGACTTGTGGTGTGTCCACTAGAGATCTGAGGCTAACTAAGATGTCAAACATCATCAAAGACAGAACGTTTGTCATGAAAAAACTGAACGTTGGCTTGGCGGAATAACTGTCTTAGAATTTCGTTCTATTCTTAACAGTTATTCTTCTTTGCAGGTGCACATCATGAGCAAGATCAGAAAGGAGTACATTCCAAATCCAGACTTTGACCCACAGAAAGTTCGTACAGCATCTTCTGCAGCGGAAGGTTTGTGTAAGTGGGTGCAAGCCATGGAAATATATGACAGAGTTGCTAAGGTAACGTCACTTTTGTTGTTTTCCACTGCCCGAGATTATTTTACTAAAGCAGCCGCTACTCTCTCTTCTAATTTTGCAGTTTATTGTTAGGTTAGATTTATAATTAGTGTGTAATTTGTGATACTGGTTGTTCAAGGTTGTAGCACCTAAGAAAGCTCGTCTAGCTGAGGCTGAGGAATCTCTGGCAGAAACCATGAAAATTTTAAATGCAAAGCGTGAGGAGTTAGCTGAGGTGGAGGGTAAACTGGCCAATTTAAAACTTACGTTCGCAGAGATGACAGACAAGAAACAGCAACTGGAATTTCAGGTTTGGTTGGTTCTGAGTATTAGTTTGTCATCAGTTGAAAGCGACGTGTAGTGTGCCATAGCTTTCCCCTAATGGTACAGAAAATATGTTGGATTTTAAAGAGTGTGCAGAGACCGTTTCGTGGTTGTATCGGTTTTCTTGTAGAGTATGTAGTACAGATTTTACCCATGTAGGGGGGCAAGTCATCAAAGATGACCTCATAGCATTTTGTTAGCAGTTTGTTCTCGTTTCATAGCATCCAGCGTGTAGGTAGACTCAGAAAAACTACCAGGATGAAGGTGTTTGTCAAGAAAAAAATTGAGTACACCACCATATTTATCCATGATGTTCCTTTTTCTCTCTGTGATTTTTGTTGGCAGGTGGATTTGTGCGGTAAGAAGCTAGAACGAGCTGAGAAGCTAATTGGAGGCCTGGGTGGAGAGAAAGACCGCTGGTCAGCAGCTGCAGCCTCACTGCAGGATGTGTACGATAATTTGACAGGTGATGTACTTATCTCGTCAGGAGTCATAGCTTACTTAGGAGCGTTCACTGCTGGCTTCAGAAGGGAATGTACCCAAGAGTGGACCAAGATTTGCAAGGTACTTACACAACTTTCTCTGCATTTTCTAAGCTCGCGTTTTTCTCACTTGTATACATGCGAGTGCATGACAAGCTTTTCGTTCTCACAGCGCTATTCATTTAGCGCATAGTACTGATATATAGATTTAGCCGAGCCTAAAAGCGGAGCTCCTGATTACAATGAATAAGCTTGGCTTGGGCCCGCGATCCAATCGAAAACCAGTACCTGGTCAGCCGGCAACTTCAAAATAAACACGTGACCTCGTGAGCTCTAAGCCTGAGCCCGCGATATGGCCTGGTCAGGTCAGCGGATGCATCGATTTACAGGTGTCAAATGACCATAACACGGAAGTCCAATATCAATAGTGTACGCTGTAAACCAAGGCTGCGTGACTTGGTTGACCTATCAGCTGGAGTATGGCCGCCATGTTTCGCGACGTCGTCGTCGTCGTGGTTTTTCGTCGTAGGACATACGCGCCCGCGATTGATGCCGCTAGCTATGTTGACCATAAAAAAAGAGTTGCATGGGTTTCTATTTCTATGCATGCATGTGGTTCTGTTCCTATAGTTATGTGGCTCCGCCTGGCGGCCCTTCGGGCCGCCGGAGCTCCGCTATAAACAATAGAGACTGTTTCACGGGCTAGATCACCGATAGACTGGTTTTCGGTTCAGTGTCATAAAACCAAAACGAAGGCAATCACAAAGGTCTCAAACATAAACAGTAGAGAGGTTTTCATTGGGTGTCGTAAGAAAATTCTAAATTGTTTTGGTTTGGCTTCACTACTCTGTGTAAATGGTTTAAAAAAACGTGCTCCACTTAATAATCAGTCAGATGTAACTCTGAAGCCATTCGCGACCTTGTCATGCTCTTTTTTTCTGGCCTTGGTGCCGGTTACGTGCTTTTGCTTGAAGTTCTGATTTGTTTGTTGTAATTGGCTTTTGCAGATTGCTTTGGTTTTGGAGAAGTAATCAGTTCCTCGAACGCTTACAAAGTTACAAAGTTCTGAACTTTTAATCGTATGTTTTTCATTTGTTTTTCGTAGTCGAAGAACATTCCTTGCTCCGATGACTTTTCGTTGAGTAAGACACTAGGTCAGGCTATTAAGATCAGGGCATGGAACATAGCTGGCCTTCCTACTGACTCATTTTCCATTGATAATGGGGTCATTGTGGATAACACCAGGAGATGGTATGTTACATCTTCCCGAAGATTTTAACGGTATTTTTAGGTTCCCTTTTCAGTCTCAGTTATACGTACACTTACTCAACCTCTTCGTGCGCGTTTACAGATAAGGCTGTCACTAAGGGCTCATAGTGTTGTTTGTCTTCTTTTAGCTCTATCACTAGTCGCCGACTCCATTCGCTGTCCATTTCTCGTTTCTCTGAAGTCGTCCATGTATCGTTATTTCTTCCCCTTGCCCACCATGCTCCTTGAATGCTTGTTTAAACACCTTGCTCCATGTATCCATATATGTATTTCCATGTATCTCAAGTGATAGTGAACGAGAGTACGCCTGTTGACCACCCTACTGATTTAGAGAAATCCTACTTCACAGACACCTTGATGGCACAGCTTACCAGCTTAAGTAGTGGAGTACAGTTGTGCGGTGGTTGGTTGCATGATTGTTTGTGTTCTTTGCTGTAGGCCGCTGATGATTGATCCACAGGGACAAGCAAACAAATGGATTAAAAATTCTGAGAAAGATAATCAACTCTCGGTAAGCTGGTCCTGGGACTGAACTGGATACAACTCAAATCTTCTCCATATATCTTTATACGCTTTTATATAAGGTGGCATTCGTATCTTAATTTGGTCATTACTTTGCTGCTGTATCGTTGAAGTAGAGAAATTATAATTTTAATCGCGTTGGGCAACAGCTTGTAACACGTAGTTTGATAAATGCTAGTGATATCTGAGTTCTTCTCTTGATTACGTATTCCAGGTGATTAAATTGACGGACGCTGATTACATTCGGACTCTGGAGAACAGTATTCAGTTTGGAAATCCTGTTTTACTTGAGAATGTAGGCGAGGAACTTGATCCATCATTAGAGCCCCTGTTACTAAAACAGACCTTCAAACAAGGTTTGTAGTGGCCAGTTGTTCCTTTTCAATGCAATCTATTTGATCCCAGATTCCAAGTTGCCACTGCTCGTAAAAACAATTCTTCTTATACTAGTAAGTGAAATTTAACCTCTTACTAACCGAGCGCGAGGGCCGTACTAAAGAATATTTGGCCTAGGTCGTGGCTCTGTACATGAAATGACCGAGGGCCAATATTCCCCAATACGGGAAGAGAAAGCTAGGTTAATAAGTTGTTCATTATATGGTACAAATAAACGGCTTATGACCGTTTCCATTGAAACGGTCCATATGACAAAATCCCGACAAAGAAAGAACCAATCAGACCGCTCGCAGTTACCTCAAGACTCCTTTATAATAATTTTCATTACGAAACTCCCAGATGTTGCTAGTGTATTTCCTCTTCCAAACTTTCTCTTTTGTTTCTCTAACTCGACAGAAAGCTTTTCGGGATTTTTTTCTTCAACAAATACATACACTCACGGTTGATTTGTTTTTGTATAGGCGGTGTGAAGTGCCTCCGTTTAGGTGAAAGTGTTATTGAATACTCTGATGACTTTCGGTTCTACATTACTACTAAGCTGCGGAACCCTCATTACCTGCCTGAACTGTCCACCAAGGTCACACTTCTCAACTTTATGATCACTCCAGAAGGACTGGAAGATCAACTACTGGGAATTGTTGTGGCTAAAGAAAGGTACGAGTCACAAGCTCTTATACTTCCTATCCAGCAGTGTCCATTGCCCAAGCTTATTTCGTGTTGTTTTTTTCAGACCTGATCTTGAAGAAGAAAGGCAGGCGCTGATAGTACAGAGTGCTGCTAACAAGAAACAACTGAAAGAGATTGAGGACAAGATTCTAGAAACATTGTCCTCTTCAGAAGGGAACATCTTGGAGGACGAGACAGCTATCCAGATTTTAGACTCGTCAAAGGTGAAGACACGGTATTCGTAATTCCATGTAAACCTGAATCACAGAATTTCTCTATTTTACGAAAAGGAAAAGATCATACTCAAATGATCATACTCAAATGAGTCAGATGAGGTTTTTTTTCCTAAAACGTCTTTTGCAAAGAGGAGTTGTCATCGGATTGAGACTGTGACGGCTTTATTTTGTCTCTGACGTCCATTTGAGACTTCTTTTTCACAGCTGAATATGAGACACTTTTAGGATTGGTTATAAATGTAATAGAAAGTGGGAAGGATGAATGAAATGCTATAAGTATAAGAACTGAACTGATGCTAATAACTTGCAGGTGCTCTCCGATGAGATCACAAAGAAACAGAAGGTATTAGAAACTATTTTACGTTACATACTGTATGACACTCCCAGGCCTTTAACCCGTGCTTCTATATTTCTCTTTTGCGTTTTTCTCTTTTCGCTTTTGTGGTACTGTTAGCAGATCAAGGACGATGTATTGCCTTTATCAATCTTCAGGTTGCAGAAGAGACGGAAGCTAAAATCAATGAGTCCAGGCGTGGATATAATCCTATAGCTGCACACGCATCAGTGCTGTTCTTCTCCATAACTGATCTACCAAACATTGATCCCATGTACCAGTCCTCACTCACCTGGTTTGTCAACCTGTTCCTTAACTCTATACACGACAGGTTAGTATCTTGTACTTTGTATTATTTAGTTATTTTTACAGAATACTTAGCGTGGCTGCTAACTTTTCTTGACACTTTCCCAGCACTTACGCTTTGATGGTTCAATACTGCTGCTCTTTACCAGTTGTTGTGTGGTAGTGGCAGGATACTCAATCATTAATGAATAAGTGGTGGTTATCTTTCCAACCTAACAGTGTAACATGGCAACAGTTTGACCTGTGAAAGATACCCTTTAGATATGCATATAACCTATAGTTCTTACAATATCGATCTTTCCGATAAGTCTTCATTCCTTGATCTCAGTTTGTTGTCCTATTTATTCTAGCAACAAGTCCAAGATCCTAGAACGTCGATTGCGTTACCTGAGTGACCACTTCACTTACAATCTATACTGTAACGTCTGCCGGTCTTTGTTTGAAAAAGACAAGCTGCTCTTCTCCTTTGTGTTATGCTGCAACATCCTGAAGTAAGCTCAGTCTATATTTTTATTTTTTTTTAAATGTATAATGAAAATTTTAGTGTGAATTATGCCGTATATCCAACATTGCTCCAATGACTTAGCTAGTGCTGAGCTTTGTTCCAAGAGTTGATGCCGAGTTGATGCCAGGAGACATCGTGAGGCACTCACGGAAAAAAAAAGAAGAGTAAGCGGGTGCTTGATGAATACAATCTGTTAGTTGGCAAACACGGTGGTCTCGCTTAACACTTTAGGGTTTTTTTCGGGGGCGGGCAAATTTGAAATGAGGCAGGGTTTTTTCAGTGTTACTCTCTAAGTAAGCCGTCTGTCCATTTTTTTTCAGCTCAAAGAATGAGATGGACATGGAAGAATTCATGTTTTTCCTGACTGGTGGAGTGGGCCTGGAGAACAAGGTAACATAAAGTTAATACTTTCTTCTTTCCAGTAGTGCCAGCAGCCTCTCATTTTTTTATTGCACTCTTCAGCTGGAAAACCCAGATCCCTCATGGCTGTCAGACAAGGCATGGGACGAGTTGTGTCGAATGTGCGATCTTCGTGGCTTTAAGGATTTCAGGTTTGTGAACTTTTTTCATTATGCTTTGCTTGATACGGCAAATAGCCTGACATGAAAATAACAGTGAAAGTTTTCTACCGAATGGAACAGTAAAAAGTTTTCATAAACAGTAAGACTGAATGTGTACCATTTAACAGCATTTGGAAACCTTCCAATGGAACGGACTGTTCCATTTCATTTCCCACCGAAACGACTGCGTATTTCATCGCAGAGCATCATTTTCCCATCATTCCAGTAAAAACGAGAAAAGAGGAACATCTCTCAAGCTATTCCAAATTTTCCAAAAGAATTTCAGTGGAAAGGTCCGTTCCATTTGGTTTTCCCACCAGAAAAACCTGTTTTTCACCCAAATGGAGAGCCCTCCTGGTCAGCCCATTGCATAAAGAGTTATATCAGTAAGCCATGAACACGCGCCATCCTGCGGCCTAAATGATTTAGAATCATGGTTCAAAAATTCTCCCCGATTTCAAAAGTAGGATGTCTTCGCACTTAACGCAATTGTGGCAGCGTAAAACGCGTACGTCAAAAAGTTTCAAGAACAATAAATTTCTACGTGTGATTTGGAATGGCTTTTCGAAACGTATCGCCAACGCCTTATTCCACAAGTTTAAAATTGTACGAGACACCGAACACGCGGTGTAGAATATCTTCTACGAACACAAAACACTCACAAGTTTGAGAATGGCTTTGAATGAAATCAAAATTTTACTGTTTGAAGAATCTTGCGAATTTCTGTTGATTACTCGTACACTGATACCTGTACAAATGTTCCTCGGAGTCCTGTTCTTACTCTATGTACATTGTGGCAAGCGCAGCACACTGATTTGCCTAACATATTTACCATAAATTTTGCAGGAAAAGTTTTGTGGGTAACACGCACGAGTGGCGTAAGATCTACGATAGTAAAGAACCTCACCGAGCTTCTTTTCCTGCTCCATGGTCTGAACAACTCTCTGACTTTCAGAAGATGATTGTTATCAGATGCCTGAGACCTGACAAGGTAATAATAAACCTTGTTATGACCTATTATCGTGTACATACATTGAGAGTCTAGCATCTTCAACGGATCACTCAGTCTTGTGTAAAAATAAAATGTGTTTGTTGTACGTTCACAGGTTGTGCCGCTTGTCACTAATTTTGTGGAAGACAAGCTTGGTAGTAAGTTTGTGCAGCCTCCACCATTTGACTTGGCTAAGAGTTATGTGGATTCCAATTCCTGTGCGCCGCTAATCTTTGTATTGTCTCCTGGAGCCGATCCTATGGCAGGTTAGTCAACACCAATTTTTTATTGCATACGTATCTGTGAAATTTGTCGGTCTACAATATTAATAGTGTATAGTAGAGTCCCCTACCTCTGACCATCACGCGTGAATTCTTCGCTTTTGAGATACACGATGCTCTCTTTGTCGGCAGTGTAGTATTTTTAGCCTTTCTATTGGAGCAGGAGTAACACTACCTACTGTTGAACCCGGATAAGACTAAACTCATGGTATTTGGCAGCAGACAAATGCTTCCCAAACTACGAGATTTCACGTTATCATTGCTAGGAAAGGAACTTGTACCTGTCCAGGCGGCAAAGGACCTAGGCGTGACACTGGATCCCCACTTAACTTTCAATGATCACATTGTTAACACTGTTTCCTCCTGCATGTCTCGCCTTGGACAAATTAATCGAGTTAAACATGCTTTTTATAGAGGAACTCTCATCACTGTTATTAATGCCCTAGTTTTTAGTAAACTGTTTTATTGCTCAAACGTGTGGGCAAACTCCTCCAACTGTAACATTGATAAACTGCAATCTGTACAGAACTTCGCATGTAGAATTCTAAGTGGTCCACGGAAATTCGATCACGTCACGCCCATACTAAAAGAATTAGAATGGCTGCCAGTATCAAGCCAGCTTTACTATCGAAGTGCCACTTTAGCCTTGAAGTGCATGACGGGCTGTGCTCCCGACTATTTGACTTCTATTTTTATCAAACGTGCAGATATAAGCACGCGCGCGCGTGTGTGTGTGCGTGTGTGCGTGCGTGCGTGCGTGCGTGTGTGTGTGTGTGTATCAACTCGGAGTATTGCATTGCGCATCCCTACTGCGCACGATTTTTGCGTCATTAGCGCGCGCGTGTGCAAAACGTAAGAGATTTCCCTCAAGCTAAGCTCGACAGCGAAATAAATGCTCGTTTTCTCTTAAACGGGCACGATGACCCCCACTTTTTAATGCATAAATTTAAATTGCACAAGGTTATCTACAATATATCTCGTTTTGAAGAAAAGTTTTAAATTCTGCTTAAAAATATTTTGATTTTAACGCTGTAAAGAACGCGTCTTTAAATAGTGCTGGGTATGAGCGCACGCAGAGAATTCAGTTTGTAGTATAATTGTAACTCCTGTTTAACTCTTTAAAATGTAAGTTCAGGGTCTATTTTGGTTAACTTCTCTAAACATAGGCACGCAAGGCGTGCTAGAGTTTTTTTTTTGTGAATTAAAAGCCCTTGGAGGGTAGCACTCAGTGGACACTTGACAGTTATAATAATAATAATACAGTAAATGGTTTGAACCCAGGAGTATCAGTAGTTCGTATAGTGTGATCGTCCGGGTGAGTGTAGTTCTGAAAAGAATTGTTGTTGGTGACTGA